CAAAAATGTCAAGCATCAACTTTATTGAAATACGGTCGCATAAGAAAATTTTCTGCCTTTTTTTTTTTTGTTTTTACCTTTTTACGCTGAGATTTAATGCATTTATATTGGGAGAGTTTTTTTATTTACTTTTATTTTTCATTTTTGTTATGCTTTCTACAGAGGACGAAAGTATGTTGCGGCGCCTCTGCGCTAGATACACATTTTATATTGTAACCGTTTATAATGAAGTATTAGTAGATTAGTAGCATTTTTCTAAGTAAATGAAGAGCAACAAAATTTCCATTTCCAAAAAAAAAAAAAAATTCCTATGATGAAGAAAATAATGGGGGAAAATGTAATAATAGCGATTATTACTTTCTACATACTTTGAAAGAAATTTTGAATTTAAATAGTGTACTAAAGAGAGATTTAACAACTATTTTGAATTGAAAACCACAAAATGATGCTACATCCAGGTAGTTTAGTTCGCTTTCAAAGGTGAACGAAGTGAGAAAGAACACTTTTTCAAAAAATTACAAAATGATATGTTTTTAATTATAGACATACATATATATAAGTTCGCCATTTGTATACCAAATATTAACTTAATTAAATTTTTTTAATCTGTATGTTTCTGCACTACTTGTGGTGTATTAAGTTGGCGCGGATGTATGCAACACGCAGAGGGTTTTGAGGAAGATCCATCCTTTTGTCGCTGCGATCGATTCAGGATCGTTTTCCCAATCAATCTGACCTTGTGTCTATCCGCCTGTCTATTTTGTTTGCTTATGCTCAGCCTAGAAGCCACAATTTTCAAGGTATTGTGATGAAATTTGATACATCGACATGCCAAGGGCGAACGGTATTAAATTTGTTTTGATCGTTCACTTTTCGATTACTTCCAATATAAGGTCTTATTATGACTAACTGTATAGTGCGAAGTGGGGTAGGGTACTTAATGGTGGACATTGTCCCATTATAGTGTTTTTAGTCATTTCATGTTATAAAGGATTGTTAAGCTTTTTTTTTTTTTCCTTTTTGCTGTAGGTGACCATGCGGGTCGCTTCTTTTATATAAAGGTTAAATATTTTGTTTGAAGTTCTTCGACTTTAAGTATTCCAGTGGTTTTCGCTAAATATTTCGCTTATGGAGACTCTTAAGGGCATTTGAAGCCGTAGCAAATGCCCGAGTCTGCCCACATATTTGTAACTGTATTCCATTCTTAATGATGAGCCTACTATAGTCAAGATTCTAGACAAAACAACTCTTACAAGCCGGGTAGCTTGAATGCTGCTGATATCGAAGAAGAGAAAGACAGACTTTGAATACGTTACGATTATTACATTAGTTATGTTGGATTATTATGAATGAAAAATAGAAGCTTCACTACGATATTTAATTGCAAGAATAAGCGAAGATCGTTCAGTACTGTAGCTACAACAAAATGTCATTGCTATAGGATATTTAAAATGATAAGAATTTTGTATATATGTTCCGCTTTAGAAACATCATTTCTGTGTTACTTATGAGAAACCGCATGTGCATTTACATGCTAGAAAGGATATGATCAGTCTTATATATCCTTTGTTTATTAACCTACTGTTGTTAGTTAGCCAAAATACAATATAAACGCTACATAACCTTTGTGTATGTATAGCGTAATAATTCGACCATCGCTTACGTATTTATAAGATGGGATAATTTCAGAGAATAAATAACTTTCACCCACATATCTTCATATAAATTTTTTACGTATATGTGTTGCTTTATGTGCATATTTTAATTAAAAGTTTATAAAGAAAAACAAATGGACGGATTAACATATGCCAGATGAACAGACAAATCTTTTCTGCGGTTTTTGTTCCATTTGATTAATATGTTTTATTTTACTTCGCATGCGAAATATCCATTTGTACGAGATGGGTAGCGCAACTTAAGAGGGCAAAATCTGAATGGCGAAGTGACAGTTGTACTTATTGGCACTTATAAAAAATTCTGGGTATTCAGGGTCAGGCTTAAATGAAATAAATATAAACCAGCAGGAAAGTTATATTTAGCCATGGCTTAAACTTTTACATCCATCATTTTTTTCTTAAAAGAGAAACAACAACACAAAAAAAAGAAAGCAAAATAAAAGTGTAGTTTCGATTCTCCTTCGATAAGGTAGGTGTGGCTGATATTTTTCTTCTTGTCTGGAATATTATGTAGTGCATAAGGAATTAGAAAAGAATTAAATTTTTTGCATTGTTTTCGTTCGCAGCTTACGGCGTATTGAGTGCCTTCGTTTTGTCTGCAAAAATTCCCAATGAGTTGCCAAATCTCAAGCCGATATGTTAATGTTTGAGATCGGGAAATTTTTACCACACTCGTGTACAGACAGAGGAAAGACGGACATAGACTAGAGAGTCTCAATTTTTGCTATTGATCCAAGAGTAATAAACAAGTTATAGAGTAACCTCAAATGCTTTCCATGTCTTGCAGGTATTTAAGTAAAAGAATCAATGAATTATGGAATCATTCACGAAAATTTTTATCGTTGCATCTGTTTGTGCTTCAGTAAGCAACAAAAATGTAGTTTTTTTACCTTTGAAAACGTAGCTGTTTTAAGTATATTGTAGGTCGTGTGAGTTGACCAGTATCCAACACAAATTCTTTGAAATACTGCTTAACATATAACAAAGTTGGTAGGATTTTCGGAAGATCAAGATCTTCGGAAGAATGGCGTGCGTAGATTTTATACAAGAATTTTTCATTTTTGGGTAAATTGTCTCAAAACTTTACTATAAAATTAATTTAAAAAAAGTCATATATAATTCACCAACTTATTATAAGTTTATAGGAGAACCGAGAGTAAATTTTAGGCTTAGCTTTAATTCTCTTAAACCGATGAAATGTTTCATATTTTTAGAAGCGTTAAACAGATAGGCCGGAAAACGGACTGGGTTGCATAGAAAATTGATTTATATACCAAGCATTTAAGGAGACAAAAACAATGTAAATATGTAAGAATAAGCCAGATCGGTCAAGACCGATCGTTAGACATCTTACATCATTTCGCCTAATACAATCATTCCTTCACTTTAGTGATAATCTACCAAAAATTCTACATAATTTTAAGGTAAAGCCATACTTTTCATGAAATCCCTTATATATCAGGATGCTCAGGGAGTCCAGGCGTGATTTGCGTTAATTTTTATGTCATATTATTATTATGAAGCTTTTGCAAAGAAATTTTGAAAATTAGACTTCTTTTAGGGGATTTAAAAAATTGTTCTTTCTGATCTAAATTTTTCGCGTCAGTTTTTTTTTAATACCACTTGTTAGCGATTTTTGTCGCGAAATTTGGAAAATTTTAAACTTTTTGCGCATAACGAATTTTCAAACGAACCGGTCCGATCCGAACCATCTCGATTGCGTTCCTCCCTGCGCCAAAATAAGTCAACGTACCCATTAATTAATTCATCAAAATATCTTCAAAATTGCGACGTGTAAGTTGAATACAAAAATATTTGGGCATATATCAAACGAACGGTTGGCAGAGAAGCTTAGATCAATTATAAAAGTGACTCAGGATTGATTGGTGTAATAAAAGGTGGGCCTATCTCTCAGCCCAGCTAGGTGTTCTATACATCGTCAACAAATTTAATATACCCTTGTACCACAAGCGTTGTACAGTAGATAAGAAAGTTTACAAAATTATCCTTAGCCCTATGACGTAGACACAATTAAATCTTATTTTGAAATATAAACCGACATTGCCTAAATGCAAGAAAACATTTGTTAAAAAAGATTTTAAATGTTTGCTCTTCAGTTTTGAAGCTTTCTTCAATTTAGTATACATTTGATGTTAATATGTAAAGTCGAGAGAGTCAGTAATTCATGAATGAATTTTTAAAGCACTTGATTTCGTTTTAATTGTAAAGAAATGCTTTTCCACATTTTCCATGTTTTCCCCATTCTTTTTTATATTGCAGATTAAAACTCGTAATCCTCTGAATATATGGCTATAAATTTTTTATTACTTTGCGTGTGCTCTGCTCGTGTCTGCTGTGGCAGTAGGGAACTACACATTAATTAACATGCGAGTAATGTGGAAATATAAGCAACAAACACAACCAGCGTTTTATGTAATTTCGAATATGTGAAAAATACTTTTTTTTTGTGGGTTCGTTTCCGTTAAAGAACAAAAAATGGCAGAAGAATTTTTTGTTCATAATAAAAAATTCAGAGCATAAAATATAAACAACGAGAGAACGAAACAACAACGAAATTACAACGACTAACATTGATATTTTCATTGCAACGGTCTGGACAATGGAACCAATGCCAGTAGCCAACGAAACATCAAGTGCAAATTGGCGCAGTCCCGTAGCATCTGGAGTATGCAGCAATTCAACTGCAGCGAATTATCATGAAATTTCCGTTTGTACTTTGAAATATAAGTTAACCAGAAAGTGTGGATGTCCATGCATGACCCGGAGCAGCCAGAGATTTGTGAACAGTAAGGGCCTAGAGAAAAGGAAATTTCACAACTCTATTACAAGTAATGTAGCATTTAAAGGAAATCATGTAACACATCCTAACTTCAAAGCGGCTTCTGTCACATTAAACATGAATTTCGTTCAACATATGCTAACGGTTTTACTATGGCATGTAAGCACATCCGCAATGGCTGTTACAACTTTCGTTGCCGCTATTGCTATCTCCGCAACACTAGTGCATAATGCAGAAGCCTCAATAGCTGAGGTGGTTTTAAAAGGCTTCACAGCAACCACGACCATCAGCAGCAGCAGCAACAGCAGCAGCAGAAGTGCAGTAGCAACGGCAGCAACAACCGCAGCGCACCAGTGAATGTTGAATTGCATAAAATTTTTAATACAAGTTACAGTTATCATTCACCGCTTATTAGGAACGGCAACAACAAAAGCAACATTTTCATTAGCTTTAATACGACCGAAATTAATTTTTTATATCCGTTATATGTCAATGGAAATCGTTCTAATGCTAATCGCGCTATTGTCAGCGATATGAATTTCACTGATAGCAATAATTCATACAGTGTTGCCGACAGTGTCAATTCCAATGAATATATATTTGATCGTACTGATGTTCGTGTCATATTTATAACATTGTATACTATAGTATTTTGTTGCTGTTTCTTTGGTAAGTAAAATCAGTAAAAGCAAAAAAAAATGCCTTCAATAATATTTTTTTTTCTTTCTTTTTTTTTTTTTTGCAAGTTTTGTCAAACACAATAGCAAAGTAATCAATTTTAAGGGTTTTCTGCTTCTCCTCAAATTGGCCTAAAGCTAGGGTATCTCTTCATCAAATTGCAGTGTCACGCAGGCTGACAAAGTTGTCTTTACGGGTTTTCTTCTTTTCCTTATTTTATTTAACACAGTGTTTGATGTCTATGCCATATCACAAACACAAAAAAACAAAAATGTAAGGGAGATAGACCGAAGATTATAAATTTGTTAAAGTGAGCGAATAAGAGAGCAAGAGGAAACGTCAGGCAACAACTTAAACTGAATTTGACAGTTTTGGGAAAATGAAAAAAGTTTGCTTTATACCGTAAAATAGAAATGAAAATTTTACTAAATCCTTAGTAAACAATAATGAACTTTTTCATGTATTTCTATAGCCAATGCGATGCAAAGAAATATGCTTCTCGGAGAGTCTAGAGAGTCCTTGTTATCTTGCTCAGTTTGGTAGCAAAATTGATTTATTGGATTTTGGATGAACTGTTTTTGCATAAGTCTTTTTCCTGGTGTTTATTATCGCTACGCAACTCTTTTTAAGGAAAATAGATTAACTTGTGTTTGATAATAGCGGTAAATATCAACTTTTGTTAATTTATGATTTCATTTAGAATTTCGTTCTCTCATCTTACGAAAGAAACTATGGATGTCCTGTACTTTCTAACACGCTAAAATACGCCTCAGTGAGTCCCTCACTTCCTTTTTTCAGCCGTCCATTTGACATTCGTTCTTACTAGATCAACTTGGAAAATGGTCCATAAAACTGACGAAATTGAAATTCTACTACATATTGCTGTCACTGATTTCAACCCTATACCAAGTAAGAGATGTGTAGTATAAGCACAGATCACAGTTTAAAAATTCGTTGCGAAAGTAATCTTAATTAGTCACCTGCAAAGCCTCATGTGTACAAATGCCTAACCCTCATTATAGGTTGAAAATAATCCTCTACTTTAATGAAATAATGAGAAAAAAGGAGAAGGAAACAGGAGTACCACAGATACTGCATAGTTTGGCAGAGGGACAAATGGATGTAGTAACAGACGTACATGCTTAGGTGGATTTAAAATTGGCCAGGAATTTATATGCTTTATGGAGTTTTTAAAGCTTACTTCTGCGCGTTATAAAGATATTGAACTTAGCTTAAATTCTGGTGCACTGTAAACTTTAATGGGCGTGATTAATTTTTGCCATTTTCGTATGGGTACTATAGCAACGCCCATACAATAAATGTTCAGCAAAAAACCAATTTTTTTTTCCTTTTTAAAAACGGGAATGCTCTCTATCTACTTAGTGCTGCAGGTGCTGCATCGACCGGTCCCTCGACCGATATAATCCATTTTCAAGATCAACCAGCGTGCAATACTTTCTAATATTTCTGGTAAATTTAAAGTCAATGGCTTCTTTGTTGCTGCCAGGAGATGTTTACAACACACATTATATAGACAGACAGACGGACAGACGCATAGACGGACACTCCCAAATCGAATCAAAATTTGATGCTGATCAAGAATGCATATACTTATTGGGATCTCTGAAGCTTCCTTGTGGGGGTTGAAAAGTTTTTGACAAACTGAATTTACCACAGTATGGACGGAAAAATAAGGTCGATATAATTCAATATCTTTCCAATTTTTTTAATATTTTTTTTATTCATTTCATTGGTTTTTTTTTTTTTTTGGTTGTTTTTACAGGAAATTTATTGGTCATACTAGTGGTGACGTTATCACGTCGTTTACGTTCTATAACGAATTTTTTTTTAGCTAATTTAGCGTTGGCTGACTTTTGCGTCGGTTTGTTTTGTGTTATGCAAAACCTGTCGATATATTTGATTGAAAGGTAAATAACATCGAAGTTAACCGCAGGAAAGAACGCAATCTTTACTTATTTTCAAGTTTTCTTTAACTTTATGATTCGTTACAGTTGGGTTTTTGGTGAATTTATGTGTCGCATGTATCAATTTGTGCATTCACTGAGTTACACAGCTTCCATATTCATTTTGGTCGTCATATGTATGGAAAGATATTTCGCCATTGTTCATCCAATAACGTGTAAGCAGATTTTAACAGCAGCCAGATTAAGGGTATGTATAATTTTACATAAAAATTATTTTTATTAGTGTGTGTTAAGTGAATGATTGGCAGTTGTCAGCTGTCAAAATTTTGAGTGTACCATATAATATTCAATAGATTATTATACTATGGATAATAATTGAAAATATGATAAAGAAGAAAAGAGTGAAGATACAAGTGAAAATATTGATGTTTGGGCAATATCGATCATTAGATACTCTACATCTTGTAGCCAAATGCAAGTTTTTTAGTATCTTCGTCGTAAAATATCAAAAGCTCTCTCGTTTTGCCATACAAAGTCATACATTTGATGATAATTCTTGTGTAGATTTTGCTACCATACACCACAGGCTTAAATTTTATGAAAAATTTTATGAACGAATGGCCTCATCTTCTTCCAAATTCCCAGCATTCATTACCTTATTTCCTCGTCGACATATGTTAAGAAAAGGAAATACCTTTAATAAAAAAATTATTTCAAAATAGGTCTTTATAATGCGGAAGGTCGCTACCAAAAGATGGTCGGAGCCAATCGTTGATCATTCGCTCTTGGGTCAAGATATGACAGTGCATTAAATTTCATCAAGATATCCCGAAAACTGCGATCTATAGGTTGAGAAAAACAATAAGCGGCCGGACAGACAGATCATTCGGCCGACAGATGAACGGAAAAATCGCTTGGTAAAATAATTACGAATTGCTTTTTATATTAAAGGCTGAGTCTATATTAAATTTTTCTGCGTGTTCCCTAGGCCCACACAAATTTAATATATACTTATCACAGCAAGCTGTGTTAAGATGTGAATGTGTAAGTGAGGTGAACGAAATTAGTTCGCATAGGACGAGTTTTAAATTAAGCCCGATATTAAATATCCTTTGAATATTGTAAAATATTGAAGAGATTTGCCACACGAAGGCAGACGTTAAATTAATTAATCCAGCTTCATTTGGTTCTCACATAATTTCTTACGTTAAATATCAATTAGTTTCAAAAACCATCAACTAATTGAATTCTTGAATATTTTAGATACATAAACGAAATTTCAAGCAAAAATTTCTGCATATCATTAAGAGCCAATATACGACACATTTACATACTTATCTTAAAAGGTCGCTCAAACACAGTCTTGTAATCAAGCAACTCACAAGTATACGCCTTATATTTATATATATGTAGGGCACGTACGTACGTACGTAAGGATGTTTCCGAGAATCTGGAAATGAGATTTTAATCTACACACGGAGTAAAACCACAGATAATATCAATTTGTGACAATTTATAAATGAACAACGAACATGGCTTTGTATCTATACAAAAGCACGCACACAAACAATCATTTGATTTATTATGCGGCTTAAATACCGATGGTATGGTAGAATTCTGAGGTTAACAGAGTATGTGAAAGAAAAACATTTATAGGATAAAAGCAAACATTATTTCGATACGAAGATGATGATATATATGTAAAATGTTTTACATATCGGTCAGATTATCTAATGAATTCTTACATTAGATAAAATAAAACCTACTTTCGCATTTCATTTCAACACATTTTTCTGCCTATTTTTAGTGAACTTTATCAAGTCAAATATATGCCACAGTCATCGATAACCTTTTAACGTCTTTCTATTGAAACCATTGTACCATCGCCGTGAAGTTTCTAGGATAATGCCGGTGATTTAAATACAAGACTTTTAAATTGTACTCGGTGTTTGCTCAAAAGTAGGATTAACATGCGTATGGAAGCGTTGGAATATGCAACATAGGCGATGAAGTGCCTATTGAGATAAATACTTTACTACCAAGTCATGTGCTGCTGCACTTATGCACTGTGTGGTTGCAAAAACCAAGCCTTATTCATTTTTGCTTCTATATTCTTCCCTCATATGATTTCACAATTTATACCGAACTACTGTCTAGATGTTCAGTGATAAAATCCAAGTACTTACATGTTTTGTTTAGTAAGTATCTAGACTTCTTCGTTGAGATGTGAATTTATTTAGAGCAAGAAGATAGAAAAGGTTATAAAATATCGAGAAGAAGAGACCGTAAAATATGGTCACATCTATTATTATTCATATGTTATTGGGTGTTCGAAATGAATAAAGTACTCGCGAAGATAATAGATAAGCCTTAGTTAGTTCTTACAATTTCTTAGGACAAACATACACACATTATTGTCGACCAGGCCAGATAATATTAAAACGAGTCGTGATTTGCAAGACACCGACATCCAGAGCGCAGTTAACAAACCATGCAGTATCTAGTCTGTTTTACACATATATCGATACAATTCACCGGAAACCAGATCTGTTATTTCATCTGTGTTCGTTTCACAAGATTTAAATAGCTTTCAGTTATCAAGGATTTTCCAAATTCCTTCACTCGAAACGTAAAGTAAGTAAGCTTGTGCATTACGAAAATTATGAATGCGGTGAAGATTTGTGACCTGCTTGCAGACTTTTTCGAAAAATCCTAATTGTCTTTGATTTAGTCATTCAAACCCGCTAATCGGTCAATAGCTTCAATGTATTTCCGTCAGTTTCTTTTTCGAAGAATGAAATAACCCAATCGCTATCTAGTCTCATGTTTTATCGCCCTTATCACGTTTCCTCTGTATAATTCAGCGATTCAGTGCCAATTTACTTTGTATTCCACATTATTTTTTATAATAATTTGAAGGAAGGTTCTCTCTCTTCTTCCTCTTGAAGGGCTAATTATAAGAAGTGGTTGAAAATTATACAACGACCATTACGTTCAGTGCCTTGACAAAGATTCTCGAACCTTTGGTTACTACCTAACTTACATCTAGCATTTTGACGGTAATCTCTTCTTGCTGATCGATCGAAAGCATTCGACAGAGTCGATCATAATCCATGGATTTTTAAATAGTAAAGTGTTTTGTCTATGTTAACAATAGGATTTCATTTGATTCATTTTGATTCAAAAGAAGTAAAAAAGGCGTGAAATGAAACGTGACAATTGCAAATTGGTCTTTCAAATTAATTGAACTTCTTCCAACTGATATTTTAACTTCGAAAATCTGTAAATAATTTGTTTGATATATTTACAAAAACAATTGGATGATATTTTTATGAAAGCGATTGATGATACTCCCAGAATGGTTTAATTTTTGTCTATAGAGATTTGATTCATCATCACAATAATATTATATTCTAAATCTTTCAATGCATGTGCACAGGCATGTAAATTTGTAACATTTACAAAAAACGCCTTAGTTTGTAAGAATGACGTGAAGCAAGCAAGCAAATATATATTGCTTGTCTTTGTTATACTTTTCTATTTGGTTTATACCAATGCCTTAAATATTTAGTTTTTTTTTTATTTCTATTAGGTTCTTTTGATGATGACTTGATGTGTGTGTTACTATGGAAAAATATTTTTGTTGTTGACCAATTTTTTTCTAAAATCATTCAAGCTAATCGTTATGTAATGTTCTTGATCCGCCTGGGTATCCGAGTAGCTAAGAACTATGAGCACTAAGTCAGTCTTTGCTGCTTCAAGTCTTAAGTGCGGTAGAGTTTTCTTTGGTTGTAGTGAAATGTCTGAAATTAAACTTTTTTTGGTGTACAAAGCCTTGCTTTTCGCTAGAATGCTTATATCCGCCTGACTAGTTGCGTAAAGAACAACTAAGTTCGTGTTCGCGGATATGCAGTAGAGTTTACTTTGATCGTAATTATAGGCATAGCACTTATCGTTTGTAAAAACAACCGTTAGTTTGCGGTTGCCCGTATTCTTTTCTTTCCCTTCTGACAGTCACGGTGTTTACACGAATAGGCGATATCCCCCAACTGATTGGTCATTTAAAATAAAAAGAAAGAAAACAGATTCTTGTTAAGCTATTCTCTCTCATATAATGTCAAGTCAATTTTCTCTCTGAAAGTCAATTTATACACGCTATTGCCAATACACTGATTACGTTGCAAAGAATTATTGGTAGTGCTTGCCTTTGAAATAAAAAGCGTTTAAGATAAATAGAATTTACTTTACAAGTTCTTTTATATAGGGTGTCCTAAAATTTAAGCAAAATTTGAATAGAAGGCAGAGTTATTTTTCTTTAATTATGATCTATTCATCGAATTATAATGTACACAGAATAGAAACTATGTGTTTAATAGCACATTGGGCAAATGGTCTCCACGGCTTGGCTGGCTCCTGCGTACTCTTTTAGCGCAATTCTGATCACCGAAACAAGAGAGTACACTATCAGGGAATGTCTTATACAGTATCTGCATTTATTTATAAGAGATGTGGCATGTGGCAAAGCCTTGTTGAAATCACAGGCCACTCACAACCATATCATCCGAGCAAGTCATGTTCATGCAGAAAAATCTAGGCTATCACAAGTGCGACATCGAATAGTAGCAATAGTCATTGCTGGACCAGCGTTATTTTAGAAATACTATGGCGCGCTGCTCTCTCGTATAATGCTTCGTTTTTATGAACCCTAAATCATTCGCTGTCAACCCACTTTTTTTGTTTTTGAGTCGCCAACACTTCGCTGCATAAATGGCAGGAAATTAAAATCTTGCTGTAACCTTTCGGACACCCTGTATATATGACAGGCTCAAGCGTATTCAATTTTAATAATATGCCTTTTCACATTGCAAATCTTCTAAAATACATGATTTAGCAATGCCTAATTCTTTCTGCGCTTATGAATACAATTTTCAATATTTCAATGGAAAGTACATCCAACTTCGATTAGTTGTGACACATGAAGTTTGCAATGCAAATGAAATTGCTAAAAGGAGCGAAAGTAACTTAAAATAGAAAATTCCAAAATATTTTCATCAATAATTTACAAAGAGTAATACTTACTTACTTACTTACTTATCAATCAAGAAATTTCATTCAATTATTTATCAAGGCCGAATATAAATTTCTTATTTAGTCATGTCTTACATGTATATGTATATATGTACATATGTAATGTTTACAACATGATTGGTAAATTTTTTTCAAATGCGTAGAATATATCAAACGGTAATCAAATTTATTCTGTACAAATGCGTAAAATTTGAATTGCGTGTTAGTGTTTAATACTCTCTTATATATGAAATAACTATATGCACGCACGTATTCAGTTCAAGCTGATTTATATGATTCACAGATGTTACGTCAGTCTTGCTTTGATGCCGAAATTATTGCGAGTTTACTAAATATGTTCGATTAAATAGTTTATGGAGGAATCGTATAAAATTTTTATTAGAAATTTCTGAAAGCCATTGTAATTAACTTAACAATAACAAATCATTATCTCTAATGGATTAAATTAAGAAATTTCGTTTATAATATACTTAGATGATTGTTTAACACCTACCATCCAATAGTTTGAGAATGTTTTTGTTTTTCCGTTTGTAACGCTGGGAAGCGTTAGAGATCCTTTAAAAAGTATGCGCACTTTCGATTAATGTTAAATTTTGATTTCGCATTTTTTAGAAATTAAGCGTAGGAGTAGCTGTTGGTAATAGCTACATAGTTTCGAATATTTTCGCAATTGTGATCGCTATAAACGGCATGATGAATATCAATTCAAAAATACCGTGCAAATGTTCGCCTAGGTCATCTAATAGCATGACACATCACCGAATGATTCCATAGAGTTTGGGATGTGATATTCGAAATTCTTCCCTAGTTATTATGCTCACATTCACAAATACTTAAATCGGGGCAAACAATCGCAATCTATCTGTCTGAAGCAATGAAGAAATGTGCAAAGAAGTGACCTTGACTTTGCATATTTCTTTGTTACCTTCATTGGGATAGATTAAAAGTACAGTAAATTGATTCGTGAGCCCTTATCCAAGGACACAAAAGTCCACACATAAAGAGTCTACATTTCAATTGGTTAGTCAGAACTATTTTTATTTTACCATCTATGTTGGTTCTAGAAAATATGTGTCTGGGCTTATATTTATCAGTTATTAGACTGTAATTTGAAGTTTCTCGTGTTAGCTCAAGGTAATCATATTTGCGGACATTTTTGCGTACAACGCGTGGGCTATAACTTTTAACCATTTTGAAACGATATTTATCTGACTTAAGGTTGATTTCGAATCAAAGTTTCAAAATTTCTATTCGAAACCGCCTGAGTGCGCCGAAGAGTTAAAAACTCTATAGATGATAAGAATGTGTCGCATACCCTTAACACTTCCACTATAAGCGTGGCGTAGATTGTGTTCAGTAAATGTGTAAGTTCCTACGCGACAGATACTCTACAGAGAAAAACGAAGTTTATCATCACCTGTAGCACACTACCACGCTACAGGCTGCTGCTCCCGGCAATAGACGACTTTCGAACACCTACCTAGGACCTAGTCGTTGACGGTCTTTCCACTTTCATTCCGAAGGTACACAAAGATTATTTCCTCTTATCTCTTTTTACCTTTCCTGACAGCCACCATGCCTACGTGTATAGGGGACAACTACTGAACAGCTGGTAAAATGTAACAAAAAAAAAAACAAAGGGCTGAGAGGCAGGATAGAGAACAATCAAAATTCAGACGAAGGTAAATCGCCGATCAAATATGCCGAGTGTTGGAACTTCGATGATTAACTCCCTAAGCTCGAATTCAGTTTCAGAAAGCTTATTGCAGCAAAAAACAAAAGCTGTGCATCTGGCGAACAGCCCTTAACCAAAAACCCATAAAGCCTCATGATAGCAATCTCACTTACGTTCGTCACATTTATTCATAATAAACCAAATGAGAAAACTTACGTCTTGTCGTGATTACAGTAATATATTGTCATCTATATATATATATATATATATATATATACATGGCTTCTTTGTATAATGCAAATATACCATATCAAGGTTTTTCTCAGCAGACGACGCATCAAGCCGTAATTTATCATTTATGAATTGAAAAGTGAGTGTTGTTCGTTTCGAAGTCAAGCTATAATTTTCAAACAATTCGCGATACTTTACAACATTACATCGAGCAAGATGACAGGGTTTTACCAGCTTTGTCAATAAATTCACAGTGTGTAAGGTGAGAATGCTTTATCAAAACTAGTCGCCCGAAAATGGTTTGCTCGGTTTCGTTCAGGATATTTCGAGATTGCTGCGCTTTGGTCGACTCATCTTTAATAAAGTCGACGAAATTCTTGCAAAGTTCCGAAACTAAGTGTGTTGTTTAGCTGTAATAAGCAGAAACACACGGCCAGCCCTTAAATACCCTACCATGCTTCCTTAAATACAGTTATTGAAATAGTGCAAACTCAAAAAAAGGCCTTATATTGGGATTGGTCGCAAATATGCTTCGATCCGAGCCATTGACCCACACATTAGAAACGCTACGTTATAAATGGATGACTAAATTTTTTTAATTAAAGTTCAATTAAAGCTGTCCCATCGACTAAGTATTTTCAAGATAATTTGTAATGAACACATAGGAGTCCATATCGATATAACTTATCTTTAAAAACCTGAAACTGGATGTTTGAAGTTGTATTTTTCTGTGCCTTGTTGAAATTCTCAATGTTGGATAGTTGGATACAGAAGGGGTGATTTTGTCACCAATATTATCCTGATTTAATACCATAGGAAAAAGTTTTTGCTTCGCATAAAATAAAATCTATAATCTACAAAAAAAGAAATTGAGTAATAATGCAAGAATATTATTGTATTTCTCATACGAAGAAATCGAAATATTTTTAAAATTTTTTTTTCCAGATTGTCATATTAACTGTATGGATAACGTCGGCGGTTTATTCGACACCGAAATTTGTTTTCAGTAAGACTATAAAAAATGTTCACACAATAAGTGGGCAAGAAGAGGAGATATGTGTACTCGATCGTAAAATGTTCAATTCAAAGTTATTGGATATGATCAACTTTGTTTTATTGTATGTGATACCATTGCTGGTAATGATGGTAAGTAGTAAAAAAAAAAAAAACCAAAAGAGAGAAAAAAATAAAAAAAATGCTTTATTATCATCAAAAAGGTAAACAACACGTATTATTTTTATATTATTTCTTCTTCTTCTTTTCCTTTACGTTTTTTATTTTTTTTTTTTATTTACATTTATGCTACACTTCCTTTTTCAGATTTTATATACGAAAATTGCTGTAGCATTGTGGCGTAGCTCGCAAGGTTTAACACATCAGTTGGCACAACAAGAGAATAGCATGGGTTTACATAATAGCATGTATCAGCATCATCATCATCATCACCACCATCATCATCGTCAACATCAACAGAATCCGCATTTATGTGGTCAGCAATCCTTAAGTACATCTTTAAACATTAGTGGTAGCGATGACGGTGGAAATAGCGGTGGTGGCAGCAATGATATCAGTGTTGATGCAATAACTTTGTCACGTAAACTTAGCAGTAGTAAATATGAAAAGCGTGCTGGTAATGCTACCCTTCATATAATCGAAAGCCAGGTAAAATTACTATTAAGCAAAACAAAAACCAATCATAAATTCAATTTACGCAAAAGTTTTCCGTTCTCTTTTTACCTAGAAAGGTATATTAAGTTTGTCATTGATTTTAAACGATAATAATAATAAAGTTTTCCAGAAATATAGTTTTAACTATATCATAGGATAGTGCCTCAATCAGACCATATTTGTTGAAGGTATGATCAAATCCACTGTCCGGATAGAAAGGAAATAACTTAATGGCAATCGTATGAGGTCATTAATTGAACAAAGAAAATCATGCGTTTGCTACCATCAGCGCCATATGTAAAATGTTTATTATCTTCTGTTGCTGTGGTTTGTTCCCTTTTTGATTTTTGAGGCTTAGCTTGTTTGGCCACCCACAGTAATGAACTGCTAACCTCAGACGGTTAACTATTTTCCTTGGGGTGATCTTAACAAGCGGGCTTCAAAGCCGCAAATGACACTATGTTTGTTGACAGAAATTTCGCTTCCAATACATCAGTCCACACTTCAATTTCTGAAATTCTCTTCGAATCGAAATAATAATTCGCAAGTTTATCCGGTTTATCGTTGTGTGATCCTAACGTATTATCGTAAACAGCAGCAATATTTTAAACAAATCTGCTTAGCTATTACGACAATCTCCGCTCTTCTGAATCCCTATGATAGATTCTTCTGCATTATGACAATTGAAGAATATTTTCAAATAAAATGAACAAAGAGTTTGTCAATTATACAAAAGACTTTCATAGGCAAGGATTTCTCTTTTTTTTCATAGATCAACTGGATATGAAACGGCTGAAAATACTAATGCTTGCGAATAGTCTTCTATTGTTCCTCCTAAATGTCAAGTTTTTGAAAAATTAAAACCACGTTCATTATGTTCTAGAAGAGCAACAACAACAACACAGAAAACATCCTGTTGCTAACCCAGTCAGTTCTGGCGAACGTGTGAATCCTTCTGCTACGAAGACGCTTCCTTCCAACACGTGCAATAAAAATGTAATCTAAAATTACCCCTGAACAAGTTTGTTAATCAAGTACTTACGCAAGAATAATTTGCTCAGGTCAGTTTACACAGATCACAAACAAATTACGATTGGTTAGTAAGAATTGAGTATTCGTCGACCGTTTTGTACTCGGTTGATAACCAATAGTCAAGCAGATATCATTTCATTTAACAAAAATATAAAAGAATTTTGAGTAAGATTTCATACTCACTGAGCCATAAGAAATGAAATAATTTAATATAAAGAATTCAACACAAAAGATTAAGTGAAAAAGAAATTTATATTTGCTTTGCAAATGCATTCGTATTCTTATACACTTGTATGTCACCGTCACAGACGGTAGTCTAAAAGTCGAAAGAATTGGCAATTATTCCCTGATCCTGATGATCAGAACGCCGATCCCAAGGAATCAACACACTGTGCTACATTCATTAACATATATCATTTTTTTTTTTTTATCATTTGACTAATCAAGGACAAGTTTCACTTTAAAATTCTGACCGCCTCTGATAATTTAGGTAAATACTTTGAATAGATATCAATTTCTAAAAGATTTCTTTCATATCTTTCTTTGAGAAAGGTTTGTTGTAAGCATATGTCTTTTCCTAAGTCAAGTACAGAATTTTCAGTGAATTAATTTATTCGATTTCTATCGCAGTTTTTTCCATTTTCGCTAAGAATAAAAAAAGTTTGAAAGGCTGGTAAACCGATTTAACCAAGTAAGGTAAAAATCTTATCCGATTCGAGAAATAGAGGGTTTTGAGTCTCATCTATGACATGATAAAATTAATGTATCCTTAAGCCTTACTGTAAATGCTATGTATATAAATTGAAAGAAAATAATTTTTTTATCTATTTTTATTTAATATTTATATAGCATTAGCTAACAATTTAGAAGATAAAACGTGATACATATACAATCTGCTTATCAATTGTTTTTAAAAAATTTCTCTTTTCAATTTTACTAATATACTTTTTCTTTCTCTCTCTCTCTTTCTCTTTTTTTTTTTTTTGTTTTTCTTCCTTATTTCTATTTCCTATTTATAATGCTTTTCAATTTTTGCGTTTTTTGTCTTACTCTCCTTTATATGCTGCATGTGATGTTTTTCAACACATTCTGAATCTCAACTTTAAATTTATTTCAATTATATCTGCAATACTAATCTGATCACGTTCCATACGATACAAAAAAAAAAAAAAAAATGAAAATAAATAAATAAATAAAATACTAAATAATACAAAATACGTAAATTCGCAAAATACCTGCATTAAAATGATAAAAATAATCAACAATACATAACAACTTCATTTTGCTGCCATTGCATCTTTTATATGTTAATATAAATCAAATGATAATATTGATCAAATGATATTAGAATGATAAGAATGAGGTACATTTTGAACACAAAATTAGCTTTCGGCTATGTAGTATGTAAAGCATTCATACTTAGCAAGAAAAAACTTAAAATTGATCCTTTTTATCCTCTTTATACTCACAGCCCATGAATTGCTAAATTATTTATAACCATTTTTAATAAAATTTTACTGAGAAGGTTTCACAATGGACGAAACGCGTTAATCAAGTTCCTCTAAACAGTTCGAGATTGTTTGATTTAGTTTTAACAACAACCAGGGCCGAATTACAAGATACAGCGAAGATTCCTCTACATCCAACAGATTGTAAGTTACAAGTTAAGTGATTGTGCAACTTGACGGTACTTTAGAAGGCATATTTATACCCCTGAGTACGGACGAGTAGGCAAAGAGTCTAGACTGACAACTCAATGGTAGTGAGTTCAAATCTCAATTGCGGTAGAGTTTTCAATAACACTGGTTTGCCTTAAATGCTGGCGCTTTAAGACTTTTAGTCTTAACATTTATTCACTTTCTAAAATAAATATATGTTTCTCATGAAGTAGGTGTTCTTTGTCAACGGATCCTCGGTCCTAATTAGCTTAATGGGAGTGAACAGAAAACATTTGAAAAAAAAATTGTATACTAAGCACTCTCAGGGTGACTCAGGGAGTGTCACATCCCGATTTCCAAACATGGTCCTAAAGTAGAATAGAAAGATAGACAAACGTAATTTCATTTAGGCATTAATCGTGAAGACATATATATATATATATATCATCTTGCGGTAAGCCAAAGATACAAATCGCGATGAACTTTTCCTAATATTATAGATATTAGGATGAATATGAAGTCGAAAAAGAATTCCTACAAGCGACTGTGTAAACTCGTTGAATACGTTTCCAATTACAAAGTAACACAAAAATAGCATTGTTAACTGCTTGCGATAAGAAGGATATACAATTCTCTCCAAGTTTTGTTGTCGTTTTCATAGTTATAATACCCTACAACACTTCTATAGTAGTAAAGGTATAATGGATGTATCCATGGAAGAGCTAAGATAGACCCAACTTATGTGACTCAAAATGGATTAGACCCGCACGTTATTACGAAAAAATGTCAAATGTAAAGCGGATTTAAAGTATTTCTGAATATGCGAAAATTTAAGGCCGAGTGATCGTTTCTTGAATCCCTCTCTGCCTTGCCAACGTGTTTTAAATTACTATTCTGATAGAGATTCTTCTAATTGATATTTCGGGCTGGTTCACGTGTCTGATCTTGCTGAAATTTTCTACACACTTTTATTTACCGATTGAAAACTTTTAAAAACGTTTAACTCTTCAGACAGTGATATATGCTTCCAAGCTGCTTAATTATAAATCCAAATAAATGCATGAACGGCATATACAGATTAGGATTTCTGTAGCCTATAAAACGAATCACTTAATATAATAAACTCGGAAAAACAGAAAATACAACAATTTATGCAGATTCTTTAAAAGGTATTTTACTTTGGAAAACAATAAAGATTAAAAAAAACTTTAGCTTTAATCTTTTACTTTTCGAAAGCGAAAAAAGTTAAATTAAGTGCCATTCAGAAAATTTGAAAACCAGTATTTTCTTGCTTTTTTTACATTACAATCTCCTTAGATTTTCTTCCTTTTTTTATTGTAGTCTATAATCACTTCTGATAATGAAACTTTTTTATAAACGTAAAGGAAACACTTTCATTATTTGGTAAAAAGAAGCAGAGACAATATCTGCAAATTATTTCATGTTAAGCTGCAAGCATTTATTATGTTACCTTTTGCCGATTGCTGTAAAAAGACTTTTAGTCGTACTAGTGCAAGCATCTTTCAGGAAGGAAAGAAAATAATAATGAATTATTTTGGCCGTGAAGGCAACTTCAGCGTGTCCGACTGTTGACAACGTGCGTATATGCTTCTAGTTTGCTTTCCAATTTGATTACAGAAATCAGCAAAAAATTGTACAAATTATGTCTTTTGTCAAGGGAAATTAGGCAACCTGTGTGTTAGGCATTTCCATCGCAATGAAGCAAAATTTCGAATCGTGAGGATGCTTCGCCATATTTCACTAGTTTTTGCAAGATCTTTATAGCAATGAGTAGGACAAGGATGTGTTATTGGACACCTTAGATGAAGACACAGTCAAAGCAGTAGATTGAAAGAGACGAAGAGAAGAAGAGAATCCAAAGAAGATATTATAACCCAGTGGCTACATCATGGCGCCATGATGGCGAAAGAAAATGTTGGGTCCATTAAGGAAGTACGCTGGCCTATAATATAATGCATCATTTCAGGCGTCCGGGAAACAAGTTATGGCAACCTATTTGCCCTATCACGCCTAAATTTATCTCTTTTGAAAAAGTTTCTTAATGGCAACAGATTTGTAAAACAGTGAAGCGTTGGCATCTACGGCGTGAGATGACTCCTTTGGGAGATACGATGATTCTAATTGTATATAGGATATCGAAGATACAGAACATCCTTGCGACAAATTCATTGGTCTAAAAGGATACCATTTAGGAAAATAAAAACTTTTTTTGTAAAGCGCTGGTGTATATAAATAGTGTCATGTTAAGTCGGCTACGTATGAGGATACGTATTTTTAAAATCTGTTATCCCTATAAAAAAATATAAATAAAAAACAACAAAGTTTTCTAACAAAGTTATTTTTAATTCCGAGTTGCTTCGATAGCTTCTACTACATTTTGGTTTGGGTTTCACACTTAAACTACCCACAGTTTGCATACATGTATTGCTATCGAAAGAAATCATCTTAATTCGCTTTGTTTCGATTTTTTGACCTTGGATTAATCGATCGGGAAATGTTTGTGCCAGCTATCTATCCTTATATTTGCGATAGTACCAATTCGACAAAAAAAAAAGATGTCAATCGTGGAATATTTAGACATCATCGACTTCATGGAAACTAGGTTAACTATAAAAAAAAAAAAAAAAATACGAAAAAATTGTGGAATATTAGATGCCTTATGAACCATTTTTTAAAAGAACAATAACAAAAAGAATCGCATTTATGCGTAACTGTCAAGGTATGAATTTATGCTGGTCGACAAGTCCATAAAATTGAAGAAGGTTAAAGCAAACCATGATGCATGCAGCATATCTTATTCGATTTAAATAGCATCCGCAGTGCAAAATTGAATCTCATGAATTTTACCGATTCAAAATGCAGCTTCTTTAAGTACAAGAGAGAGAGAGAGAGATGTCTGTTAAATATTTACATTAAATTTTCTTCAAAAGCCAAGAGTCACATCTACTGTTTCTCACATATAATGTTTTCCATTTCCTGCATTTCGCTTTTATTAGTGTGGAAATGCCTTTAGTCACTTTTCTTAATTAAAATCTTCTTCCTTTTTTTTTTGTTTTTTTTGTATATACATTAGATATATGTATGTACGTATATGTGTGCTAACTTCAATGCACAACGCATGGAGATTCGTATAATATAAATTGTATTCGCTTTGCCGAACTAGAAATTTGCCAGTACGTATGGTTTGCTTTGTTGCCCAAAAGAAAAAAAAAATTTTTTCTTTCAGGTAACATTGGATTCTGATCGTCCGGTAGTAAGTGCATGTCGCAAGACCAGTTTTTATAACCACAATCATCTTCATCATTATCATCATTCCCATCAGCAGTCAGAATATCAAAATTCAACGCAGGCAACAAATACAACGAGCCGTCATAACGTACACAGTGGACAACGTGTTACACATATATCGCATTCCTCATCCAATAATGTGTTACGTGCTCGCCGTGGGGTCGTACGAATGTTAATCATATTCGTTTTAACTTTCGCATTATGTAATTTACCGTATCACGCACGAAAAATGTGGCAGTATTGGTAAGTGCATAAAAACATTTTTTTTATTAAATAATTTTTTATTTAATAAAATATTATTAAAAATCTTTTAACATTATTAGGTCACATTCGTATCGTGGCGACTCAAATTTTAATGCTCTATTTACACCTTTAACATTTCTGGTGACTTATTTCAATTCTGGCATCAATCCATTGCTTTATGCATTTCTTAGTCGTAATTTCCGCAAAGGTATGCGAGAATTGCTAATGTGCTCTTGGCGCGGCAAAAGCAAAACAAAATCATCCATCAACTCATCTATACATCATAAACGTGCAGCATTGCAGGTAAATGCTTAAATCATTATTGACAAAAAACGCTCTTCATTTTAATTGTTATTTGGCAAATATAAAACATATAACACAAAGTGGTGGCCAGTGCAATAACGGCGCTATTACCTATGTACGATATTCACATTATTGGTTTCCATAAGCGTAGCATAACCTTCTGAATGGACATGTCCGTTAAAGGAGGTAATCAATCATAGTAGACGTCTCATATACTGCCTCGGATTAATTAAAAAAATTTTCAAATTTTCATATGTAGTATACTTAGCTTGCTTACGGTCTAGGAGAAAAAAAAGTAACTTAAAAATACTAAAAAAGTTATTCAATATGAAAATGAAATAAAGTTTGACATGACAGTCGCAAAAAATGTTCTTGACAAAAACTAATGTAAGACATAGGCATAAGCAATTTTGCACTGTTTTTACTCTTGGTCGTGTATGCTTCGGATTCGCTTCAGGTTGGATAACCGTTTTCTTGTTTATATTCATTTCAGACACATTCGTTACCCACAGACACTACGCATGTAGGAAACGAACAACTATGATGATCCATTTTGATAAGAGGATTTTTCGAAACCAAGACGCCAAAATCAAGGAAATCTCAATTAATTTAATTATCAAAAATAAAAAGAATAAATAAATAAATTCGAGACTGAATTTCAAATTGAAATCCTTTCGACTGTGAAAAATGAAAGAGTAACGTAAATTCATTTAAAAAAATTCCGTAGAGAAGAGAAGGCCTGCGGATTGAGTGAGATCACCTTTACTAAGAGTAATTTTATAACATTTTAATAAGTATATGTTGGTAAAATTTCTAATAATTTCTATTATACTCTGCAAATTATTGGTGACAATACTTAACTTAAACTTAAGATTATTTTGTTATGCTCGCCCATATTTGAGTTGATGGAGCTTATGTAACTAAGGTTATACGACTAACTTCTTTGGGTATCCCACTTTCGGTAATAGTTGAACTTAACCGATAGAGGCTACTGCGGAGCATTCATGCATATAGCTAGGCGTACACGTCAATAAATTGCAAGGTCATTGCAAGTTTAGTTATCAAAGCGAGTTATAAAGTCGAAAATATATATATTTTTCGTAAATACTTCATTAATTTTTACGATTAAAATTGAAATAAGTAAAAAACCTTGGAAAATAATCTTTGGCATCCGCTATCTTTTACGGTGTTTGCACTTAGAATAGATTTCGATGATTTCATCCAATGATTTTCCTTCAAAACAAAATTGTTTACATTGCATTGAAAAGCATTAAGTGATTCATTTTGATTGTTCTTCGTTTAGATGCAACACCATAAGTTTACACACTTGAACAATACACGGAGGCAAGGGAAAATTTATCGATTTTCAACATACCAAATTTCAATGCTGCCAAATCGAGAACTACTTTGACATAAAAACACGAATTTCACTGAAATTACAAAATATGTGACGAAAAATGTGATTTTTTCCACTCTTTCACTGTAAACCCCGTGCATAATTGCATTTTTACGGAATCACTTAGCAGTATGTGAAAAATATTCAATCTCGATTTAGTGAACTGCAATATATTTCATATATAGTTGGATCATGTTCTTTTTTAAAGTTAATTATCCTCTAGTGAGGGAGTAGTATAAGTGAAAACGCAACTCAAAACTACTTTTTATATAACTTAGTATAAAATTTGTTATATAAATAAATATATGTATATATGTATGTAGTTTTATGTAAAATAACAAATCCGATTAAATAAAATTTTACTCATCGCTCATATCTCATATCTTTTAAACTGGACAGACAAATCCCCCAAAAATTTCATAAGAAATGCTTTAATTTGCAATAAGTGCAAGGCTTGTTATTGTTAAGAAGGATGGACAAGATTCAAAAAAGTGTTACAAATTTTGTTAATGCAAATGTGCCTCTTATCGTCTTATGTCTGTTAAACTTGTGCGCATACAACTCTGAATGAAAACTGAATGGATTGTAATCTTTTTCTCTAATTAAAGAAATGTTTACGTCATCCTTTATGATGCTTGGTATTAAATATACATAACATATACCATGTAAAGGGCATGTAAGTTATACAAAATTATAAAGCTATGTAAATAATTTAATACTTATAGAAGTTTTAATGAATTTAAAGTTAATAATAATTATAAATGTATAATAAATTAAATCTTATGCTAATAAATATAAAATTGAAATCATTATTTTGCAAAAGTGAAAACGAAAGTAAGTACTGATGGCGAAGGATTAAGGAGAGCTTATTCATTGCTGCAGACCGAATTTTTTTTTTTTAGAATTTTTATTCATTTTTCAACTGAGTAAATAAATTGTGCGGTTTTCGATTTTAATTGTCTATTAACTGTCATCTCTTGCTCGCGGTGCAATATAATGATAATGCCGTGACGTGCTGGTTGAGCTTGACATGTGTTTTACCGGATTTAAATAATAATAATTGCTGTCACAAACACACTTTTCAACTTCAGTTTTTAAATTATTTAAATAATTTTCTTTTTGTCTTACTAATTGCAATACACTTTGTTAAAATTATGTCCTTCGTATGCGACTGCACTAGTTTCTGAGAATCAATCAAAACTCACAAATGTTCCGAGTCAGCTTTTTCATCACATTTCCTATGCGCAACAATGGATACAACAATTTTCGCTCTTTTATCGCACTGCGCTGAATTGATAAGAAACAAATATGGCAAAAAGTACCCGTAGTCAGCACCCAGTTAAAATGCAATATTGTGAGCACAAAGTGAACGTCTCATTTAAACTTCGGTGATACTATGATATCACGATCTGTCTTTAGGGTCTGTGTAAAGGATGTCAATATATTTAAAGCCTTCAGAGTTAAACGAGGAATTTTATCTAGTAGACGAGGAATTTTATATAGGAAGACGAGAATTTTATCTAGTATTCCACTAACATCTGCTTAATCGTTCCAGAAATATCCGGTCTTAACGTACTTGTGTGAGATTTACTTTAATAGAAGTAAATGAATATAAAAAAATAAAAAGTAAAAGCAAAGTAACGAAGAACTGCTCCTTCTGAGGCTATCTCTAAACCGTACGCTCTCAGATTTCGGATAATTCGTTACCATTGAAAAGTAAGAAAAGATTTAAGAATAAACGCGATTATTTTCATTTTGAACAAAAATAAATAAAAATATATGTCATCCCATTAATTCAAGTGCCCGCTTTTGCTCATCGTATCATCTTTGATTTTCCTCCTCAGTGAACTTGGTTCTGTTTCGTAGTTTTTTAAAATTATCAGTTAAAAATAACTCCGCAAATCGGTATAACTTTTATGAATGATGTCGCGGAATAATCGAAAAATCGTTTGCTTAGACCACTGAGATACCTAAGGCGAGCCAAAGATTTTGTGATAACGAGCTTCGGGTTATGACGTTATGCCGTATATTCAAGAAAAAATTAGGAACCGCCGCGTATTCATTAACGATATTTAAAATGCAAGTTCTTTATGATTGTGGGGAAGGAGAATTTGTTTTCTCTTGTACGTTTCCCTAAATGTTATTTTTATTTATTATTACAGGTAGTTAACACAGATTGTTTTATTAATTGTCATTTAGATCTTTTCTTGCATATGAATGAATGAATGAACGAACTGAAGGTAATTGATTCCGTTCTGTTAAAAGGAACTCTTTGTTATGCAGTTTTTACTTCTCATAAGCTAGCGTTGCTTGTGTGTGTTAGCCAACTAGGTTATTTATAAAGTTACAATCAATTTATTAAACTGGGTTGTTGGTTAACTTTGAAATGAATACACGTTAGCAGCGCATTTAAAGTAACGCCTTAATGCGAAAGTATGTTTTCACATATGACGTATTGTGGAGTTATGGAAAACCCCACGAATATTATTCGTTGGCAGAACATTTGAAATTGAAGAGCTACCGAGGCTTTCATAAAAATCTGTCGCAGGAGCCAATTTCAAAGAGCAATTCTGATTGATATGTTTACTTACTAAGAGAAATTAATAATAATAAAGAATATACGACTTCGAACGTTTAACCATCAAGAGACTATCACTTTTGGTGTGTTTGATATGTTGATATGTCTCACCCCCGCTCAATTCAAAAGAAAAATTCAACTTCTCACAAACACACAGCATTAAAATTTCTTTAGTTATCTGTAAGAACATACCAGTCAAGCAAAGTCGATTGTTGAATACCCTACACAACTTTGCTTAATGCAATTGTTTATTAATTTTCCTGAAGGAACACCCAAGAATTATGTAAAATCATATTTTTCACGAGAATTCCTATACGGGAGAGAGCCCAGGACGTGAACTGACGTGGCCTAAATTTAATAAATGTCAAAATGACTCGTCAAAAATTTTATCTTACTTCTTCTACTCGTATCAAAAAGTACTGAATATTATACTGTGTTATTATACTATGTCCATGGAAGCGGCGGTGTCCAAAATATAGATCTAAATTAATTCTTAGTTGAAGTAACCGTTACGAAGCAAAACGCATCAGAAAATACAAAAAAATTGAATCCTTCTGAGGGCTAAAGCTTTGCTTCTTCTAGAAAAGGTTACATGAGAGGAAAAACCGTAATATATGGTCCATATCTTGTGCTAATTTATGCTGAATACTTATCGGGAAGTATTGAAAATTGCAGTTTTTTTTTTATAAAAGCTTTTTTGCAATGACACAATATAAGGAGAGCGGTCGAAAAAATTATCCAACCTATGCCATTTTCAATAACGCACGTCTAGGTCAAAAGACATCAATGCACCAAATTTCTAATAAAAAGAACTTTTTTTTCATCAATTTTTATACTGTGCATCATTTGCGATAAGATCACGAATGCAACACAACGAAGGACTTCAAGAAGATGTGCAACTTTTATAGGTTCCTGTTCAGCTGTTGCGTCGATTTAAACATGTATTTCTATTTGCCCGCCTGCTCGGCTGGTGTCTGCATATGTGGCGTTGTGTTGAGACGGCATAAATTACTGTCGATATCGGACAATCGCGAAAGTAATTTTCAATTTTGTAATGATGACTTTCGATGTCGGAAACCGTCATTCGTTAAAGTTTGCGTTTCTTTCCACAACGAGTGTCGAATGCCACGTTTTACGTGTAAATCAAAATCGGGAAATGTATTCAAAGGAAAGGAAAACATTAATAAAGAAATTACGTAATCTCACGGGCAATAGAAATGACAAAATAATGGAAAAAGAATACAAAGTAATACCTTAGCTGTGCCATAAAACGGCTGTGAATTGTAAAAGCAGGGCTTAATAAAAAAAATTCTTCGAAACAAATGAAACCATAAATTGAAATGCAGTAAAGTTAGCAAAACCTGCCACTGTAGATGTAATTTATATTCTTAATATAATATAACTTACGGAAATTTAACTGACACGTCGAGGTTTATGTAAACAAAGTGAAGTTATTCTTAGGATTCTTGAAAATATGGTCGAAGGAATTTCTTGACACTTGCTTGCATGTGTATACTGCTCTGTTTCACCCTACTCTTGAATATACAATAGTAGTGTGTGAATATTCTTGTAGACGTCGTGCGGATCTCGAATGGGATTCATTGACCTCCCCAAATTAATACGGGATGACTTCTTCTCCCCGGCTACTTGGAAAGCTACTTGGAGGCTACTTGGGAAAATTTCCTTCAATATGCCATCTATGTGATACTAAGACGCCCACTGTGCCGAACAAGCTAACAACTTCATAATTCTTTACGCTTGTTCTTTACGAAGATGTTAATTCCATTAACAAGACACGCAACACTCTTCCGCGAACATACTCTATGATATTCCTGGTTTACCGGATTGCGTGCATATCTAGAGTGCATATACTGTATGAGAGGAATGTGTGCATTATATTATTAATTAAGACGTATATAGATGTTCATGTGTATTAGATTTCATGTGTATATATTGCAGTTTCTAATGTATGGAATGATTTTCTTTTCCAGATGACTCTATCATATGTCCTATACATATATTTAAATATTGTTACACATAGATACCAACATATAAGTTCTTCTTTACTGGGATGTACGCTATATATATATATAATCAATAATTGAATAAATAAATAACATTTTAGACTTTTCCATTAAAACGCTTGTAATTGTAAATAAATCAGAAGAATATTGTTTCTTTAGTTTTTCATTTCGCTTCTTCTTCTTTAGCTTAACTTTAATATTCACGCGTCAATTGCTATGGGGTTATATCGTTGAAAATGCAATGAATAGAAAATAATTATGATCTAGGAACAATCGGAGGATATTGTCATCAACGGACAAATATTTTTATACATCAGCGCATATCTATGAATTTTAGGTATGCAAGATCAGATTGAATATATTTATACCCTGCTTAGCTTATTCACTACTGTGCAAGCATTTTACATCATAACCTTAGCCATGTAGCCAATTTTCATGCGGAGAAGGACGACTCTACACTACTTCGTCTAATATTACATAATTCTTCACCTATTGTTGTCGATAACTAATAAAAATTATGCATTGCCTCTATTGAAATATTATATCTTGTGAGAATGCTTGTAAAAGGAGGAGAATATAAACTTATATAATCCAATTTTATCACAGTAAACTTACTTAAAGATTACTATTATTGAGGATGAAGTACGAAAAACTGCAAATCCATTTTCAATTTGGGTTTTTCCTTGGACCAGTCAGGTTGTTTTTGAATATCGCAAAAATTGAAATTAATACACAAGAAAGTTAGGCAGACAAACAGTTAACCAGGGGCGCCAGCGGACAGATATCATTCCATTGACCGAAAAGATTATTCGAAATCGATTGACATAATATAACGAGAATTTATTGGGTTTACGGAGCATTGCATACATCTGCACTACCTGACTATAACACTTCAAATGGTGTAGAATGTAAATATATTTAGAGAAAACCCTTAGGAAAAACCTTAGGAAACATTAACATATAAAAATGAACTTGGAATACCCTCGGTCTTTGCTCAGGTACTACAAACCATAGTCACTTCTGCTTCTATTTAACATAAGTTTTGACAAATAAAGCCAGATATAATTCATTTTCATAAAATTTCCCACAAAACATATAATAAAGAATTTTAAGATTTGCCGTCATTTCAATCTTAATTTGACAGCTTGTTGTAATTAAAAATTCATGAATTTAATCAGCACAAATATTCAAGATATTCTTGGAATTGATTATAAAAACTTATGTTTTTCCATAAAGCGATTAAAGAAAGACCAAAATATTCCATAGATATAAAATCTAAACTAAACGAATAAAAAGAAAAATAATTTGATAATACATCCAGTGGAAAATCTGACTTTGTCGACTAAGGAGTATAACTAACAAGCACTGTTAACGAATAGTTGAAATAGTTGAAATCACTTATTCAACAATTACAACCGTCGCTTAAAATCGAATCCGGATATATTTCAACTGTCTACTGTGAATATTGAAATATATATCTACAAGAAGTTTTGGAGCCTTCCACTCAATCATATCCCAGGATGTCAAATATGTAAGTAAAAATTTCAATTTAATACTTTTACAGTTATAAGAGATTCGTCGTATGTCTATCACTGCGATTTTGCATCGCCCTCTGTAAATGCCAGCAAAACTTTTCAAAATGTTAAAGATTTCGGAAAACCCTATCATGCATTCAACATCATTGCGCATAAAAGAATGCGACAATTAAATTTTTGAAGTAAGTAATATTTTTGGGTAGAGTCACAAACAATATCCATATTTTTTACTTTAGTTATCAACTTTCCCTAAATTCTTCGAATGGAGGCAAACATTGTGACTGTGATGTATTTAAACTTTCTGCTACATTTTTGGCCAAAGCCGGAAGGATCTTAAAATTCGATTCACGCTTCAAATTTGTATCTCTAGAATCAAATTTGTTAATCAATTTCCAAGTATCCGCTTTATACGCTGACAAGCTCATCAATTCTGCCCACTTATATCTACCCTCCCATAAAGGAGGCTATTTATGATTCGGCCTAATAGACACTTTTACTTATCAATCTTTTAAAAATATCTTTGGTATACTTGGAATTCATATTCAGTTATTCATCTATCCTTACACATAATCTCTGGTCATATGCTAAGGTGTGAGCAAACTTAGTTAAAGGCCAGCTAACTTTTGAAAGAGATTTGTTCTCTACAGAAAACGTTCTCATATATTCTTAACTTTTATGATTAGCATCGCGGACAATGGAAATGCATGTAAACCACTTCCTTTGGAAATGTGCCGCAGTTCACCTTACTACAGTGCAAATCAACTGGATCACGATCCAACCGCGGAAGCTATACAATCAGACATAGAATCTAAGGTAAGTTTAACAATACCACTAAACAATATCTATAAGTAAGACTATACAACAAACACAAGAAAGTTTTATGGTTTCCCGCTATCTGACTATTGAATAAAAAAAATTCGGTGAGATCAACAAATAAAAAGGCAAAAGTGTTCGTTCATTGGACAAGAATCAATTACGTTTTTCGCTTTCGTACAAAATGAAGGGAACGTATTAGTAAGATGCCGCTTGGGGAAGTATACGCCCTGTATAAAATCTACTTTTGTTTCCCAGATTTTATTATATAAACAAACAAACGGATGCAATCGATATTGCGGAAATAGTGATGCATTTTGCATCGTCATGTAATGTTTATCTAAAGTGGTTTATAGGGGACGCACTCTTAGTAAAACCTTGTTTGTTCAAACACTTTACAGCACATTTGCTTAACTACATTTCTTTCTGTCGATAAAGGTCACATATACACATATTAAAGCAGGATATTTTACTTATTTCAGAGTATATCATGCAGTAAGCAGAACATACGAAATGACGAAACTAATGCAGCACTTGCCTTACCCGATGAAATGTGGTTACAAATTTTCTGCAATTTATCATATGCGGATTTATCACAAGTAAATTTGGTCTGCAAACATTGGTCTCAATTGGCTCGTGCACCTGCACTAACACGCAAATCCAAGTTGGTCATCGTTAGAGAAAACTTGAAAGATATTTGCGATCTTCTAGAACGTAAAGATTTTAAATTTCAAACTGTAGAAATAGTTGACGGATTCGATAGCGCTAATTGCGTAGAACATGCATTATTATTAAAAATGTTCCAATATTTGAGGTCGGATATCGTTCAACTAAAACTGGATAGACCCTCAAGTCTTTCAGTGCTCAATAATCCTTTAACGAAACTAAAGGAATTGGATTTGTCAAATATGCGCTTAGCGGAAAGCTTATCGATAGATTTAAGTAAATTTTCAAAACTTAAATCCTTATTACTGCCTTATGGCGGAGAGTGCCATCTCAAAATTCAATTATCGTCTCCTTTAACCGAAATGCCAAAAATACGCTTAGAAAAACTACGCATCGCTAGCTATTATCCCAACTACTTAAACTTATTAACAACGAATGTGTCCTCATTGCGTACACTCGAAATCAACCTCGTATCTCCTAGTTTGACGGAACAGATTCACTTACATGAAATCTTTAACAAGTTTACACAATTGAAGGTACTACGTGTTGGTGGATTTGTGAATATGATAGACCATAGCACGAGATTTCTCTTAGAAAATCTTCCAAAAGAAAATCAACTCAAAACTATAATTGTCGATTTGGATGCTAAACCGGTGGAATTTTTGGATTTAATTTGCCGAAAATGGTTTAGCTGCATAGAAACGTTGGAGTTGCGGCTGACCGTATTTGACGCGGAAAGGCGTAACAGCGGGAATTTGGCTAAACGGCTAAGCGTCCTGAGCGGCAAGTTGCGCCGTCTGAGTTTGGATGCCAGGGAATTCACTCCCCAAGATCTCATTCATAGTATAGCTCCAAAAACAAATACAAAACTAACTGAATTGGAATTGTTCAAACCCCATTTGACGGGAGAGTTGCTCTTTACGCTGTTTCAACGTTTGCCTAATTTAACGACACTCGATTTGAGTTTCAGCCAGTTAACCGATGAAGAAATGTGTGGCATTTTTCGCCGGCTCACACGTTTGCGGCACCTTTTTCTGGGTCCATGTTGCTCAAAAACCAACATAAAAAATCTTTGCTTAAAACCCAACATAAGCAATTTAAAAGGTCTGCGAAGACTTCGTTCATGTTTTTGTCCCATCAGGATTCTCTGGATATTGAATTTAAATTTTAAATTTAATGAATTAAGCCATCTCGAGCTCTATTCGTGTGGAAGGACCAGAGAATGCTCTTTTTCGAATTTTGAAGAAATTAGCACATATTTTCCGGCTCTTGAAGAGCTAGACGCTGACGGTTACGATTTATGCGTTAACGATATCACAAAAGTGCGTAACAATTGTCCTCGCTTACTTTATTTGTAGAATATATTCGACGAGTGGAAGACATTTGCAGATATATCTATTTAAATGGAAAAATATTAAAGGAATTGTACCAAATATTTTTTATTTGGCAATAAAATTAAAAAAAAAAATTTGTTAGTAAGAAGAGAGCCAAAAACTAGTAGTTTTACTTAAATACATCGATGGCGATTATTCTCCGCAAATATCGTAAAATGATTATAATTCGGACATGTAGGTACGTATAACATAAACTTACAAAGTCAGACAGGAGCGCCTCTCACCTTTTTTGCTATTGCCATCGCTAATCTGTCTTTCTCATATAATATTAATAATGATATCTTATTATCGTAGGAGGGCTGATCTCTTGAGAAACTGAGCTACGCATAAAAAAATTGTATATCAAATGGCTGTCCATCGCTTTTGATAACAAAATACTGAAAATTATATCTTTTTGTAAATATTTACTTTTTAAAATTTTTTATAAAAAAGTTTAAAGGAAGTGATATTCAAAAACTGATCGCAACACATCTGTATTTAGAACATTCATGTAGTATGTCACCGATTAATGACGATAGTACGAGTTTTCTATATAACCAGTTATCTGAGAAGCAATCGTAAAAATAGCCCGATTGGAACGTAAATGGCTCTTGCCGGGTTTTAAGAGGTTTAAATGGAAGATACGGAGTCGCATTCTTCCATTAAAACTATTTAAGGGAATTTTTCCCTTTCAGTGATGGGCAGAAAAATTGTAAGCTTAGGCCAACAATAAGCATCGTTTGTTACTACGGTTTTTGAATTTCAAAATTAAATGCTGCTTCCTGCTTCCTTCAAAGAAAATGTGTTGCAAAGGTCACAAGATGCTATCCGAATTATATGAGAAGATAAGCCTTATCATAGCTGTCATCTGTTAGAAGAAATCGGATACCGATTTTTCATGAATTGAATAATTGCTTGAAAATCTATGGTTCAGGATACTTGCTTCCATTCCTTAAGCAGTAAGTTTTTGATAATCTTTAAAGCTTCTCTACGAATACAGTAGAACTAAAAAGCATCTCTGTAATTGCTTGTTTATCCAGACAGTCTGCTTCTTCGCTGAGTGAGAAAATAAACTAACTTGGTACCAGAAGAAGCTTGAGTTCAGTTACTGAGTAATTTCCAATGTACGTAAAGATGTGAGCTGCATACAGATCATGCCTCTCCGTGTCGAAATTATTTGAATAGCAGACTTACCATCAGTTATAAAGGTTATCTTGCGATAACCTATTGGCTCGATGTACCCAATTGCGCCACCAATTGTTACTAATTCTATAAAAATCAAGTAAAGCCGCTTTCCATTTTTTTGTAAAATTAGACTGCATTTCAATCGTTTCACCTGACCCATTACCATGTAGAGATGCATCATTGGGATATGTATTAAATATATATTGAATTTGTCTATACAGATGATATGGGCTAACACTGAAGCTAGATTTCGAGCACCATGGTGAAGAAGATGCTCAAGGAAGTGTGTATTCAATTAGTGAATGAGCAAATTCGGTAGTAATTTGTTATAGCAGATAGCATAACTTGAAAGCGCATTTCGGGAAGTGATTTCTATTGTACACTGACGGTCTTGTACATAAGGCCGTGGATAGAAAGGCTCTGTATCGTGTTAGTAGTTCACACGGGAGTAAGTACAACGAAAAAGGACAATTGTCTTAACTGGTGTAAGAACTGAACTGTGTCGAACTTATCTGTTTTGAAATGTTTAAATTTGTCTATTAAAATATTAAAGCTTACAAAAGGAAGACATACTGTCAAAACACACATTAAACCATACTATCAAAACCATCTCTCATTAATTTCACGGAATTGACAGTGTTATTGGCGTGCTTAATTACCTTTTATACCCGTCACCGAAGGATGCGAGGCATATTCATTTTGTCGAAACGCTTGACGCACCCAGAGAGAAGCATATATATAAATATATATATGAATATTTTGTTGCATTAGCTAATTGCTTCTCGACTTAACCAAATAAATGATGATAATTTAAAACATAATAACTTATGAAAATTGTGTTTGCTATTTGTCATTAGATTTTCAAAGCTTTTGTAAGAATTTGCTTGCGATGTTAAATTATTTTTTTATAATCTCTTTAATAACGTGTGCTGTGAGCCATCGATCATCGGCAACAATCTCTCTGAGTAATATCACGGATTTTATGCGAGAAACAGAGGGTATTGCAGGGAAAATCTCCAAACGTGGCGATCATACAATATGGAAAATCTTACATCCAGTCGAATCGAAATACTCAAAATATCTGGTGTTCATAGAAGGCTCAGTTGAACGGAATATTGTATTCGTTTTTGCTGGCGTTATAGTGAGAGAGAATCGCGTCTTAACCACCGGTTTCATGGTTAATTTGCTTCAAATTTTGAATAACGTGTAAGTGTACACGACAAACACACGAAAATCGAAAGAATACGCGACCATTCGAATCCAAAATGCATATGCATCATGTTCGTAACTCATAAATCATTGTTTATCATGTAGTATGAGTGATGACTCGAAGGCACTTTTAGAGAAGAGAGTTGTGGCCGGTCAACCAAGTCTTGAAGTTGAAGTAGAAAAATCTCAAGTTGTTCACTTCAAAGAGTCGGAGTATGAGAATGATGGTAGTCTTCCGCGTACTAATCAGGTTGCAATGATTCGATTGTTGCAGAAGTTGAAATTTACTGCTCAAACGGTTTCGATGATGCCAATAAACAGAAAAAAATTTGATGACGAAGTTATCTGTGTGATTCCAAGTTGGGGCCAGAGTGAGGTAAAGTTATTTCTCCATTTAAATCTTCAAGTTTTTTTAATTTTAATTTTTAACCTCTTAACAAATCGCCCGAACTAGACTTTATGTTCGAAGAATCACGTATTTGATACTAGAGTGAGAACACTAAGAAGAGATGATTGCCTCAAACATATCCCTAATCTTCAGGAAGCAACGATATGTTTTCATAGTGCCGAAGAAGGAGTTAAACCATGTGATATTACTCCTGGCGCTCCTCTTATATGTAACGGTATATTAAAAATTTTAATTGCTTTTTAAAGAAATTTTTTCATTGATCTTAACCATTATGATCTTATTGTTTGAAAGATGAATTAGTTGGTATAGTCGGTACAAATCAGAACTGCTTTAATCAAGATTTTTTGAACGAGCCCCGCCAAGCAGGCAGTATTAGCGCAATCTCAGATAAGTGGCTTGCTAGATTTCAAGAAGAAGACGACGAAGAAGAGGATTTTTTGAGAAAGAATTATAGACAACTTCGCTCTTCATCATGCTACAAGTTTCCAACTGCTCACTTATTTATAGGTGGTACCATGGTATCTATATATATTGCTTTGATTTTTTAAACACATTAACTTGGGCTTTGATTTTACTTCGCGTGATAACATCGTTTCGCATTGCTTTCTAAGTCAAATTAGTTTCAAATATATGCTTTATTTTTAATAAATTTTCTTTATTCTTAACGAAAATATATACTTGGAAGCTTTATTCTTCTCCCACTGAATATGGTTAGCGAGAGACTTCTCATATTACATATCTATCTTATTTTTTAATTTTTTATGGAAGATGTGCAAAATTTATCCATAGCTGCGTAGCTTTGTTGGCCTTTATTTATGAGTGCTTGATACCATCCATTTTTGCTAATTATTCGTTGCTAATAAAACGTTATCGTCATTTATAACAATTATAAGAAAAACATATATTTTCGTTATTGTTGTTTGTTAAGATGTGCACAGCTCCTTTGTATGCAAATGTAACTAACCTTTGCTCTCTGTAAATACCTGTTGAGAAGTCATAGTTTCGTGTTCGTCTGTCATGTTCTCATCTCAGGCATATATCTCGTGTTACCAATATTGCTCTTATTTACATATCAGAGATAGCGTACAGAAAGAATTTCATATGGTCACATCTTCACACCCCTTACTGTTGGTAATGCCAAACTAAAATAAAAAAAAAACTAATATCAATCAGTAAAAGCTTTAATACAAATTTTTCGAAGCCATTTTTACGCTTTTATTTATTAGGTGTTTGCAGATGTGTTTTGATCGTTTTTTCAATTCCAAAAGTAATTTATGTTACATCATACATGTTACATCGATCTGAACAATCGGTAGTCAGAAAACGTTATGTCTGCGTTATTGCCGCTGCGTGCGGCAAAATTTGCCATTCGAGCTGCAATAGTGTATCCCTGACAATTCTTGCAGCTTGTGATGTGGCGTTTTTACGTAAGAGGGATATTTTGCGTCTGTTAACCGCTATTGCGGGTCCTTTTTGCGACACAAGCACATTATGCAATTCGTTCAATTGACGTTAGTAGACACCTGCAGTAACAGTTTCATTCGATTTTAGCAGCTCTTAATACACTACAACTTGCTGATCCCACCATATACGCAGCAGAACTTTGTGAACATGAACATTCCGCTTTGGTGTCGATGTCCATGGGTCTCCTGGACTTAGGCATGACTTTCTTCTTTTTTTGTTTGACAAGCAACGAAACCGTGATATTGAAAAGGTTTGAAATTTTCTGCTTATTCGTATGCTGGCCATTTCCATTCCTGCTGCATCTATCCCATCCCATGTAAACGTCTAGACACAATTGATTCATCAACTGGGAAGCTGTTTGAAAGTTTTTTAAGAGTTTGAGCTGGGTTTTCGTTCAATATGCCTTGCATTTGACTGTCTGCTTTTTTGGCCCTTCAGACCGTTCTTTCTCATTGACATCAAAATCACCACTTTTCAATCGTTGGAACCAAAACCGACAATTGGTATATGATAGAGCATTATCACCATAAGCTTCTAAAAGAGTTTTTGAGCTGAGTGATTCGAGCTCTTCATGATTAGCATCTGTGCGCACTAAAGAAATCAATAATACTAAATGGAAAACTGTTATTTTATGTAGAGAAAGGTCAAACTCATCGGATTTAATCGTTATGTGCACTGGCACTTAGCTTTACTTTGTTATTTTCAACAATAGATGTCG